TAGATCAAAGAAATATTTCTTTGAAATTAAGATTTTTTTTTTTCAGTGTAAGTAAATAATTTTCTTGTATGTAACGCATAATTTATATTACATACATTTTATAAATAAATTATATGTTAGGTGTGGGAAAAAGTTCGTGGCGTTTTTCCCGTTAGATGGCATTTAAAAAACGCCATGAACTTTTTCCCATATCTAATACGTAGTGGAAATTTTATTTTTTGAAAGTATACAATACACACACAAACACACACATACTCGCGCGCGTATTATGTACATTTTCAAAAAAATAATTTCACAATTTTATATTCGCGAAAAAGTAAAGAAAATACACGAACGCACCGCCAAAGTAATTAAAATCGTACAAGAATTAAAAATTATTTTTAATTGTGACAAGTCTCTCCGCAAATCTCGAATCATTCAATTTTTCAGCTGCATTTAAGTTTTATCGACTAGAAGAAGATTATAGCTATCGCCAATTCGTTGGCGGAGCAGCGAAGAAAAAAATATCAAAAAGCTGCGACTCATTCCAACAAATGCGCAATACGGGAATAATAAAAATTCGCAGTTTGAGCCGAGTCCTTGAGGGACTCGAGAGGAGGGGAAGAGCGGAGGGCAAAGGAAATATCATTATGCGCGATAATATTTGTCCGATCGATTAACGGATAAATATCTAACAAAAGAAGAACAGCAAAACAATAAGTTTAAACGAAATGATAAATCGCGATTGCCGTGGATTGCTACCGATTGCGCAAATTCTTAAGCTCGTGTCTCGTGCATTGAAAGCGGATTGCGAATTGAAGATCAAAATTTGACCAGACAGATAGTTTTATTTCAATCCACATCGTTCTGATTAGCTGAATTTTAATCTTCCTGAATTCTAATTTTCAGATCGCAATTCTCAATTTGCAACACGTGCGACACGAACTTAAAGACCTAAGAGATTGCGAGGATTGAAGATCAGAATTCGGAAACAAAACGGATTGAAATTAAAATTAATTACTTGGTCGAATTCTAATCTTCAATTCTCAATGTGTAATGTGTGACACAGACTTTACTCGCGCACATGTTTGCATTCGGCAAAAAAAAACAGCTCAGCAACTGCCATAAGGTTTTTTAACACGACCGACATATACATTTAAATCCAGCGAGATTTAAAGCGGCGGAGCTGTTTTTTCTATTGGACGCAGCCATCCATCATGCGGAAAAATATCAATCCGAGTTTTACGCGCAAATAAAAATAAAACGATCGAAAAAAAAAAGAGAAAAAAGTGTTTCATTTGGAAGTGAAGCACAAAGACGAGAGATTTATATACATGTCTTACATATACATATCGCACGAATCACGTACGATACATTCGCTTGACACAACCGTGTCCCAGTACTCGCCTTCTAATTATCATCGTTATCATAAAAGAAATATAAATATATACGCATGACTGGCGTTGCTCATCTCGCACCTCGCAGCTCCGATATTTAATTCTTATAACCTCTTACAGGCGGAGGGAGGGGGGGCGTTTTTTAATCGCGAGCGCGAATGTCTCGCGTATTTTACGGACATGTCTCACAGATTGTTTAGGAGGTGCGCTCCGTCCGCGTTATCTATAATATGGCAAGAAGTGGTGGACCGCGTGTCGCAGGTTCCATGTGTCAGCAGCATGAGAGTCACATGGGAATCATATCGTAATCCGCCATGAATCCCGGGAAAACTCGCGTTTTCGCGCGCCAAAAAGAGCCCGATCGGAAAGACGGAAAAACCAGCGACGGTGGACGAATCCCGAGGGAGGGAAAAGAATTGATTGATCGAGTCGAGGCTTTGCGTTGTGACGTAAGTCGACGAAATAAATACAGATTTCATTCCGGATACGTGATTCATTCGAGACACGGACAAACGGTTGGACGGATGGACGAACGGAGGCGCGAATCGATAATTTAATAATGTCGAGCGCGCGTCACGTGCGCGCTTTTCGTCAGATCGTAGGGCTCCTTTATCTTTTTCTCTTTAAACAACGAGGAAACGAGAGAAAAGAGAAGGATTTGATACGTTTCGGATATATCAAAATTATGCGCTTACCGTACTTTCCTCTTCTGCCCCCTTTGCCTGGCATCGTTCCTCAGTTTGCTTATTGCACAATTGGTACTAGGTAAAAGACTCGATCAAGAGGGTAAATGTCTTGAACTAGTGTCTTTCTTTCGTATACTGAATACGCCACGTGAATTTTTCGTTGGGAGCAGACAAAAACTCATTAACATGTTGCGGAGCGTTCAGAACATACACGTCGAGACAGCCTACGGTGGGCTTTCTCAAGTGCACTGGCTTTTATCCCCCTCGCCTGCCAGGCAGATCAGACGAACGTGCTCGATCCGCCCGCGAACACGGCCGAAGATACTCGAGTGAGACACGCGCGCGAGCCAATGGACGCTCGTGATTTTCGTTACGTCGTGAAGTTCGCGCAGAGTCGCGAGGGATTTAATTTGCAGGCGCACGCGCACTCCGGTATTAGGTCTGTTCTTTTTTTTGAAAGAAATCTGATACTTTATTTTTTTGTTCTTTTTATTCCTGTATTGCATTAGACTGCATAAAGGTAAATTTTCACGAGCTGTTCAAATTGATTATTTCAGCGATAAAAAAGATCACGTAATAAAAATTGATGAATACCAAATGTCTATTTTGATCATGTGATCCTTTTGTCGCTGATGTCGATTAGAGCAGTTCCCGATTGCGCTAACGTTACTTTGATTTTAAGTGAGGCTTAAAACTCTCTCTCCTTTTCGCTTTAAAATGAGACAGAGAGAGTTTTATGTGGTCTAGTTTCCACTGAGGGTTTAACTTCGGATCAGAATATAAGAATCAATCATTACAATCGAGTATTCCCCTGTTAAGCCCATTCTGTGTGGTCTACAATGGGCAGTAACAGTAGTTAATTAAGGAGTAGGTGTAGAAATCGAACAATCATAGTTGATTATTTTTCTTATATTCAATTCAATTATATTCATTTCTTATATTCACTACGATTGGTCGATTTCTGCGGCTACTCCTTAATCTATTACTGTTATTGTCTGCCATTGTAAACCGTACATTCTACAATAGGCAGTAGCAATAGTGGATTAAGGAATAAATGTAGAAATCAACCAATCATAATCGAATGTGAGAAGGATAATTAACTATGATTAGTCGATTTCTACGCCTATACTCTTTAATTCACTACTGCTATGGCTTTGCAAGAGAATGTTCGACTGTAGTTGATTGATTCTTACATTCTAATCCGGATTAAATTCTCGATAGAAACTAGTATCGCTTAAAGTCAAAGTAACGTTGGTGTAACTGGGCCTTATAGAGTCAGTTTTACCAACATCAATTAAGGGCTCCGCACAATAAAAGGAACAGAGAACAGAGAATAAAAATTTCAACCTGTGTCAGAAACTATGTATTCCACAATACATGATTTCTGATAGGTTGAAATTCTTATTTTGTGCTGCTTGTTTCTTTTATTATGCGCACCCCCTTACTTTATCCGCCGATTAATTTTAAGTATTGCCAACTGTTAAACTGAAAACTTCTATACTTCATCTCTAATCTAATTTTGAAAGTATATATTTATAAAAAAATATTCAAATATATTTACATTTCAAAGTTTTATTATCCCCACACATCACTTTTTTTTACTATACTAACAAGAATAAATTAGAAAGATAAATTTTTTAAGTCTTGCTGTTAGCTATTCTGGTGATGAAGTTAATCGATGGATAAGCTTAATTGACATTGAAATTAAAATTAGAGCACTAGAAACGTTTATAGTGCTTTAATGAAATTGGCCCATAGAATTTTCTCACTTTCGACAAATATTAAACATATATCTCTAAATCTGTTATTTAGTCTGTCTGAACTGGTGCACACAGTGCAATAATTGTTAAAGCGACACAAATGTATTTGTTTTACTTCAATTTATTGCGCTGTGTACTAGTTTAGAAAGTACAATTTAAAAAATAGACTTCTTATCTCACTTTAAGTTCCAAAAGTGTGTAATAGGTCAGTCATAGAAAATAGATCTTGAATTAATTCCGATAATATGCAATAAGTTAGAGTGAAACGAATTATAGCAGACTCACTCTAATTTATTGCATTCTAATTTAGTGTACACCAATTCAAAATTAGGGGAAAAAAAGAACAGACGTTAGGTCTGTTTTTTATTGCTGCACTTCCTGAACTGATACACACAGTGCAATAAGTTGAAGTGAAACAAATATACGTTTGTTTCATTTATTGCACCATTTCAGAGTGTAGCAATAAAAAACAGACTTCTTTTGTTTGCGCAAAATTGCATCAGCGGAATCTTTATATGGCTAATGTCAAACCAAGTTCATACGTGATATAATAATAATACGATGAACAGATAAAGTAGCTTTGCAGCTGTAATATCTAAAAATGATATTATAAGTTTTTCATAATTTTATATCAAACAATTTGTTTGCAAATTTTAATTTACATCTAGCTGATATTAGAAATTCCTTGGGATCATAAATATATTTTCATAAAATCTTATATATCATTATATCTTTATATATTTAAAAACTAAACTATCATTATGAAAAAAATGAAGCAAAACCGATCTTTACTTTGACGAAAATTAATCAAAGTTATCATATAAAGCCTCTTATATAAATGATATATATACATATAGTAATATTTCAAAAATAAAATAAGTATTATTAGAATTAAGATGATAACACAATTTCCATTTCTGATAATTCTGTTTTTCAATTTTATTTTAACATATATATGCAAATAGTTATTTTCTTAATATGAATTTCCCACATTTTGATAGATGACACATTTTCATTTCGATCAATTCAAAACATTGAGCGCGTTCAAGTTGAACAAAGCGGCTACCAGTTCACCGAACAAATGAACATTGGTTGTTACTTATAGATCCAACCAATCCTATTCAATCGCTCAGCATATTTAGCTGCTTTGCCGCTTGAACTGGTCCATTGTTAGTAAATGTATGAAAAGGAGAGGTTGTTGGCTGATGTGGATTCTTGCTAATCTATATATATATATTTTACCCGACCGGTCCTTTTGCAATCAAATTATCAAGTGAGTTAATAATTAATATTTGATTAAATAATTTTTTCCTAACTCCTAGTTAAACTAGTTAAACTAGAAAAGAAGCAATAAGTTAAATAAACCATTCTATATATGTAGCTAATTTTGTATAGTATCAGCTGACATTGAAAACATAATACTTTCCATTTACATCACAACTCAGATAATTCTCATTTGCGAGGTCATAACTTGAATTCAGGTTCCTTTTGAATGTAATAAGTGAAAGTTAACAGAGTTTTTATCTGTAATTTGTACAAACTCGTGTGCTTTACTGAATCTTGTTAACTCACATTGAAAGTGAGATTATATAAATCTATATTGTTATGTGACAATTTTGTCATCAAAAAACAAGTAATGTCATCATATATATATGTATGAGATTTAGCTTATTATTTGTATGAAAATAGAAAGCAACTCGTAGCTCAATTAAAATTATACTATAAATGTTTAACTTATATCGAATTTTAGATCTTGACAGCTGTATAACGCAATGATTATGTTTTAATTAATGTAAAGATGAATCGCAACGTACTTGTGGCGTTTGATTTTGATCATACCATCTGCGACGGCAACACTGATTTAGTAGTGCAAAATTTGCTGCCAATCGAAATACCCAAGGATTTGCACAATTTACGAAAGTCTAGTGGTTGGATAGTATATATGAGCAAGATCTTCGAGCTCCTACATGAAAACTCTGTGAGATCTCATCAAATCGCAAACGTTATTATTGGTATACCTGAAGTTGCAGGAATGCAGAAACTCCTTACTTCCTTACATGGCAATGGTCACGAGATCATCATTATCAGCGATTCGAATAGCGTGTTCATAGACTCTTGGTTGAGAAGTAGGCAGCTCAATCAAGTTGTATCACATGTCTTCACGAATCCAGCCCGATATGACAAAGACAAGCTGAGGGTGGACCCATATCATATTCAAGACACATGCAAGATGAGCGCTGCCAATCTTTGCAAAGGACAGATTTTAATGGATTATATTCAGGATAAGCACAAACAGGGTAAAAGCTATGAGAAAATTGTCTATGTTGGCGATGGAAGGAACGATCTCTGCCCGATTTTGCGTCTCTCAGAGACTGATCTGGCATGTCCGCGTAAAGGTTATTCGCTTATCGATCGGCTAAATGAATTATCTACCTCTATGTCGACAAAGGCAAAAATTGTGCCATGGGAAGATGGTACTGATTTACAATTCAGATTGGAACAGTTCATAGAACTTCCACCTTTAACATAATTCTATCAATAGATTTTTTTGAGCTTTTTTCAGATGCTCATTAGCATCATTGTTAAATTGATGAATAAGTAATTTATGTATTTTATAATTATTTCTTTTTATAATTGTATATTTTATAAATATTACTAAGCATGAAATATTTACGCTAAAAAAGCGCTTCTAAAGTAAAATGTATAGAGTCCGACCATATTTTATCTCTGACTGAAATAAAAAAACGAATATTCGGTTTTTAATTTCGCCTGAAATCGAAAGCGAAAATTAAATAAATCTTATCAAATATCATATAATTTTTAGAAAGTCATTGGAAAATGTCGAAATGTATATACTCTTAAAAATAAGATTTTATCAATATCTTATTCTTTAAATTATAAGAGATTAAATTATAAGAGAGGCATGCGGCGACTTGGTAAGTAAAAAAGAATAAAAAAGAAAGAGATAGTGTCGGCTAATTTGTAGCAATCGGCGCTGATCTCGTCCAATGATAACATAGTTTTTCGAATGCTCGCCGACGCATTGCAATTTGTACAGTTTCGATTCACTTATTGAAATTTTCTCTTCATTTCGGTCGAAACCGAAATCAAATTGAACTCTGATTTTTTACTGAAACTGACCGAAACCACAACCGAAATTTCGATCGGACTCTAAAATGTGATTACAATTATATTTTAGAATCCGATCGAAAGTTCGGTTTCGGTCAATTTCAGTAAAAAATCAATTACATATTTTGTACAGTACAAGAGAATTTTTGTTATAATAGTATAAGTGATTAGAATTAAATTACAATCGAGCCATATATAGATATTTACTGAATATTTAAAGAATATAAATAAAATTTACTTTTGATACTTATGAAAAATTCTTTTTTCTCTACCACAGCATGTACTAAAAATGACTATTTCACATTGTAGAATGTATATAATTCTCAATACACAAAGTACATTTGTAATTATTATCATTATTATATTAATCTTATTTTAATATTCAAATACATTAAATAATTTAACTTATATTAAACACTTGATTTATTCAACCGAATGCATCCTGCTTTCTTACATTATTATGATTTTAAAAATTGTCTTCACATTTCAAAGAATAAATATAATATTATAAATACAGAACGGAAGCATCTTTCGTCAAAAATATTTACGATTAAAAATTTAAATAGATAATATTTCTTAAATATTCAAAAAATTTTCTAACATCTATTTAATGTAAAAGGTTCATGAAATGAATCATACATCGGTTGTAAATAAAGTACTGAATTTATTAAATACATTGGCTTAATAAAATTATCAGAAACTTTGGTTCTTAAACTATTAAGATACATTAAGATACACATTTGCCGTAACTTATATTGCACTTATAATTTTGTATTAGTTCAACGGGGTCGTAACATTCATGTACTTGTATCTTATCGATCAAAATGTCATACAAATGTAATTCTAAATTGTTTTACAAACAATACTGTTTTATTCTTCGCGACTATACAAAATCTTTATGAACTCACAATTTGTGTTAGCGTTTGGAAAATATATAATCAGATGATTTTTCAGAGAAGCACAAATTGTTTTCCATATTTTTCTATAAAGCCTAAATTTGTTGAGAAACGAAGATATTTTATTTAAAATGGGATTACTTAAAAGAGTTTACCTAAGATTTTTGGAATGTACAAAACGTACAAAAAAATGAAATATTAAATATATATGTATTCATATAAACTTGACACTAGTAATATAATTATCGTATTAATCTGAAATATTTTTTTTTATATTAATATGATACATAAATATAACTACATAAAAGTATTCTTATGTATAACAAACATGAACATATAAAAGATATAGCAATATATTTATATTTTTTATATAATCTTAATATATAAGTAGCTTTTAAAAGAAAGAAGTTAATTCTTCGATGCCACTCTTAATGTCGAATATCCGAAATTCCTTTTACTTTGTTGTACCTTGTTATTAAAGGACCAAAAAAAAAAACGAATAAAGAAAAACATAAACTTGAGAGAAAAAGGTTTTGAAGAAGTTAAAAACTAAAAATTATGTCTGAGACTAAATTCAAAAAATGCTCTAAAAGTTTTATTTTATGTTATAATCTTCCATTTATTTTTTATTGTAATAAAACATTTAACATTTTTATCTTTTATTTAATGCTCCTCTTTGGCTTTTTCCAAAAAATTCTTTGGCTTTTCCTAGCTTTTTCCCTGACTGTTAACAATCTTGTACACTTTTTTATTCATAAAGATATATTCATTTGCTTGTTATCGTTGTATTTCTTGATGTCTGATGTTTTGATTGAAAAAAATATATTACGATTATTTTTATGTATGATATTTTTCACAACACCAATTTGACATGTGACATACGATATAGAGTGACACCGAAAGATTATTGTACTATTTTTGATTAAGTGCGGAATATCTAAATATTAAACTTTCTTAGATTTTTTACACTAATTATTAGTGTAAAAAATTATTCGATTAATTTAATGAATATTCAAATTATTTGGTTTTTTATTTTATTGATATTAGTTACTGAATATCCATATTAAATTAATCAAATAATTTTTATATTTTTATATTTTTATATTACTTTTGTAATAAGAGAAAGTATATCTATGCGAGAAAAATAAATTCAAATCTTATTTTGTAAAAAAATAAAAAAAAAACAAAATTTAAAAAAGAGAACAAAAATTGAAAGTAATACCCTTGTCCATAATTGTGAGTTCTTGTTTGTTACATTAAATTTAGCACCACTGGTATAAACTTTCATATTATCTCTATTCGTATCTTCACATATTTGGAATAAAGCTGTACAATGTATTCATATCGTTACAGGGATGAAACTATAGCTTGCTACAAAAGATAAAACAGTAGATAGAGTTGCTATAATTATAAGAGCGCCCACGTGCGAAGCACTGGATTGTGTATCAGTAGCAGCAGCACTTTCTGCGAGTACGTTTTCACACGGCGTAACTCTCTTGATGAAATTAAATACAGAATCCATTATATTCGCAGGCGTGGGATCCGGACATTTTTCTAACTCTGCCACAACGCAATTTTGCAATTTGTTTATGTCCCTGTAATGCATCAAATAAACATAAGTTTTTCCTTCCTGTACAGAAAGGCTGTAGGGAAATATTAATTTTAAGAACTGAATTTTTCAAATATTCAAGATTTTGAATGTCTAAATTCAGGAATATCATCAAAAAATAAATTTGTGAATTTCGCACGACTCACCTGCATTCTTTAGGACTAAACTCCCAAGCCGACAAACTCTCGAATCCCAAAGGAAAACCACCAAAATCCAATTTTGATACGTTATTACCAAACGTCTTGTTGGCACAATCTAAAACCTCTTGCGTTTTTGATTCAAAGCACTCTGGTCCTCCAGCCGATATGAAAACTGCAAAGATATAATTCAAGCTAATATATAATAATCCAAACTACTTCTTATATATATATATTTGGAATTTGGTATTACTGTTGTATTTTAAAATAAAATTAATTCAGTTCATACATACGGGCGATTCGATCCCCTTCTTTATAGCAGACAAATTCGAGTAGCGAATCAGTTATGTTCATCACTATTTTCTTATTCTCTCTCATTTTCTCGTCCAGACAAACCGCTATCGTATTCGTAAAATTGCTCACGCAAGTTCGTAGAGAATGGCGCTTGCTGCAATATTCCCTAAAGACAATATCCAGATCACCTGTCGGCTTATACTTTTCCATCTCTGCATAGAGTTCGGTAACGTTGATGAGCTTCTGAATACATTGTGCCACTTCAACTTGGGCGCGATCGATAAGATCATATGCGTCTGGTCCGGCGTTCTTTACACATCTTTCTCTAAAACGATTTGTGCCTTCTTCAACGGACAGCCCTGATTTGTTTATTTTCTTTACAATATCCGGGATTCGATCATCCATCACTCTGCCGATCTGTTGAAGCTCAGGGAAGACGGTGGAAGATAAATTCTCTTGTGAATGCGTGCATCCAACAATACCTGAAACAAGGCAATATCTTATTTAGTTAAATGGAAATATATCTTCTTTAAAATAGATTCTTTAAAATAGATTACGATAGAATAAAAGATAAAGCTTCGTCTCTTATTTTATGAAATTGCTTCATCTTTTATTCAATGATTAAGAAAAAAAAGTGGCAGTTATATTTAGAAACGCTGATTGGAAAATATTCCTTTATTTATGTCATATAATATTGTAAAGAGAAATATGCTAATCATTCTTACAAAGTAATTGCGTGTACATTTTTTTATTGGAATTGTACGATGATTACACGTTACAGTGATATTGAATATTTAATGATTTCTTTGAAATTATTTCAGTCTAGAATCTCTTAAAAAGATAATTTATATCATAATTTAGCGTTTAATATCATGATATATTGGTCGCGGAAAGAGAATTAATAAAAAGAGGATTATAATATTGCAGAATAACAGCTATATAAATATGCATGTTTGATGTTTGCTGATTGATGTTTTTCTTATATTGTTTGTAATGACTTCGCATTAGTGTAATTTTATCATTTCCGCATGCGTGACTTATTATATTTATTATATTTATTAGACGTACGATATGATCTACAAAAGAATATCTTAAAAATATCAGAAAAAAAAGAAGGAAAATTTTCAAGAATTATTTTTTAGCAAAATTAATGAATCTTTACTGAACTTTGTCAACGACAATTTCGTGCAAAATACTCTGTGCAACTTTCCCAGATTTAATTTTGTCGCAATAACTCGAGGGATAAAATCTCTCACAGCTATTTGGAGAATAATGCCAAATTTCATTTAACTTTTTTATGTCTAGAGAGAGAGAGAGAGAGAGAGAGAGAGAGAGAGAGAGAGTGTGTGTGTGTATGTGTGTGTGTGTTATAATAACTGGTCACAAGTTTCGTTAATTGCATATTGTAGAACTATTCATTAAATGCAGGTGTAAGATTGAAACATTAATTAACTATTTTTTGTTATGTATCTATTACTCTCT